TATTACAAGGGAGATCATGGGATAAGAACAAACAACATCAATTAATAGATAGCACTCCTTTAACCTTTTCATGCCTGGACATAAAAATACTTCAGCTATGAAAGAGTAACAGGCAGAAAACATTATTAATCTGAGGAGTATAAAACTAACCTCTCACTTTAAACATCTCGATGGGTTCAAATAATTCTTCTGCAAAATACATTGGCATAGCTATAAGGTCTCTGCTTTGCAAAAGATCAGCAACCGCTGAAGGATAAATATCATTTATTTTCTCATCATATGTCCTACAGGCCCGTTGAGTATCTACCCCTGAAAGATATAATGTCCCATGCCCCTGAAACAGTTGGGCATCAAGGTCAGAACCAGATTACATAAATGTGATTTTTATTTTATTTTTTTGTTTTATGAAATATGTTTCAGATTTTGTTCAAGATGCTCGGAAATCGGTTTAAGTATGAGCGCCAAGGAAAATAAGTGAGCTTGAAATTTGTTCAGCCCCCAATCTGCTTTGACACAAATTCTGCTGCATGTTAATTACACAATAGTGAGAGTGTGTTTAGAAAACGTCAGGGAATGTGAATAATAGTTCTAGGATCAGCATTTCGAGATTTCTTGACGTGTAATAAAGCTAAAAATGATGTAATGAGAAGCAATTTGACATCTGATATCATGATAAGAATCTTGATAACATTTAGACTTGCCAAGACAAACTACTCAAGCTAGAACTTCAGCAACATTATTAGACATTATTACAAACTTTCTATAATTCAAGTCAATTCAGAGAAATAAGAAACTATAGTACAGCAAACAAGGTGAATCACCAAGTGAGAGGCTGTGATATTTCGTGCTTCACTCAATCGGGTATTATGCAGAACTATACTGAGAGTACCTAATGGCTATTGACATCCATGGATTGAGTCGCTACGGTTATATTTTAACGCTCACTTGATTTTGCAGATATTTGAAATGCTATATGACATTATCCAAGCTGCTCTACCCACCAGCATAGCCACAGCTTGTTAAGTGGTAGCATGTTATAGCAATTATCTACTATCAGTAACAACTTTCATTCAGGATAAACATTGGCTTATTGGTTACCATCGAACAAAACAATACTTCCAATCTTCGTACTCAGTACACTTAAATAAGTAAACGTGCAACTCTTCCTATGACAGCTTGTGAAAGTAATTAGATGTTGTTGAGTATATATGGAAAGGTTAAAACTAAATTAAAGCTCACCACTGTCACAAAAGCTCAAACACAATAGTTACTCAACATCAACTGATTGCTGACATTACATCCTCTTATGACTTATGAGCATGCCAACTTAGGTAGTGAAATCTAAGGAAGACCAAAAAGAATTTTTCATTTGGCAAAGATCAGGTATCTCACCACTTCAAGCTGAGGCACCAATTCTCTTGCGTCCATCCAATGTGATATTTTCTGTGCGCGGAACTAAAATAATGAACTGGACAATGAGACAATTGATGTGCGAAAACTTTACAGTACTCAGTCTTAAGTTTAAATAACTTGACAATTATATTTAACCAGGGTCTGTTGAGATCTAGCAGGAAAGGACTTCAATAAAATTTATAGACATAATTAGGACAAATCCATAGACGATCTGCAGCACAGGCTTTCTCTCTTGACCTGTTTTGACGAGCTACCGAGATGCTTTCCATTGCACCCGTGCTTAACTGGTACTTTCTTTCCAATTTTGTTCCTGCAGGAACAATATCAAATTGAGCATACAAAAGGGAAATTCTGGGCATCATAAGTTTTTCAATTTAACTATATGAAGTATTTTTTTTTTATTATTTTGAATATAGAAAGAGACCGGAAATGATCATAACACCATATTGAGGTTCCATGACTCTAAAAGTTGCAGCAAGCCCTGATTGTTCTTCCTATAGAGAGGAATAGCTCAAATTACATCTCATTTAAATCTTACTCTTGGTATCTTGCGAACATAGCATGCAAGTAACGAGAATAAGCTAAAGAAAATTACTACGAAGTTTCACATTGACTTCAATTTTAATAGGGACAAGTCTCTCGTTAGCTGTAAAACATCATGCAAAGATGGCTCTGCCAACTCACCAACTAAGAAGAAAGCAAATGCCCAAGGGCACCCACTTTCCGCAAGAAACTCGACATAGTTTTGAGGTGTTTAACGGTAATGCCCCCATTGAGGAACAACAATTCTGATGCATCCCATTACTCTCCCTGGACACAGTGTTGATTTGCATAAGGATCACCATTCAACCCATATGCATTGTTGACCATATAAATTACAATTCATAAAGAGTGGTGAAAACTACACACTATTTTAGCAATTTTGTTCTTCCAAGTAAAAGCGCGAGAAAGCAGCAATGACAATAACTAATCAAATTAATAAAAATGACTCGAGTAGCTGCATCTTTATCGATCTGAATTTATAAACAATAACCTGAATTACTACACCACAAAAAAGTAAAAACTTGTTTCCATAAAGGGTAATGACTTATGAGAGCAAAGAAACAAATTCTCATCAGCCTGAGGTCTATAAAACAGTGAGTACATATGTTATAGATCCCGTACACAGTCATTTTTCTGCATATTCAAAGGATCTAACAAGAAAGATAGATTATAGAAAATCAAATGGGCAGAGAGCAATTCGAGAATCCAACATTGTATGGACCTTTAAGGGTAACAAACACGACAGCAAACATATGCATTCACCAAAATACACACGAAAAAAACCAAAACACCAACAAAAATCAGCTGGCTACGCAACAAAATCCCGAAAAAAACTTCGAGAATCCAACACTGTATGGACCTTCCCGGGTAACAACACGACAGAAAACATTTGCATTCACCAGAATACACACGAAAAACCAAAACACGAACAAAAATCAGCTGGCTAAGCAGCAAAATCCCTAAAAGCCTTCGAGAATCCAACATTGTATTGACCTTGCAGGATAACAACACGACAGCAAACATATGCATTCACCAAAATACACACGAAAAAACAAACAAAATAGGAACAAAAATCAGCTGGCTACGCAGCAAAATCCCAAGAAACCTCGTCGTCAAAGCGTGAGAAAGAAAAAGAGAGAAATTCTTACAGATTTTACTCCCCAGGGTTTTGCTTGAACAGATAGCTGGAAATGTGAAAACTAAAATCGGGAAAGGCGCGAATGAAGTGTTCGCCGCTAAAATGAGCAAATTGATGGCCCACGTCAACTCGAGTCTTGTGAACCGATTTTGGACTAAGGTGGAGATTGGATCAGTTCCGCTCACCTGTCCACAGTGAGCAGTGCCCACTAGTTTGTTTTATATGAAAAACGTATTCTGAGACTCAGAATACATTTTTCATATAAAACAAACTAGTGGGCACTGCCCACCGAGGGCAGAGGAATATATTTAGAGATTGTTTATATATGTGGGCCAAGTGATAACAGTTATTGGTGGCCCAATTTTTGTAATCATCGGCACAATTTCTTTGGCATGGACTATTTATTTGCAGCCCACTTGACTTGTGATCTTGATTGTTCGTATTAAGTATTTCGATCTCGACTGTTCGTTGTTGTTTTCTTTGTGTGCCCCGTCTGGAACTAGGCCTAATTCTTATTTATTTTGTGTCTGTAAGCTGGATGATCTACCTACTCTCTCCGTGATTCTCACTCTCTTAACTTTGTGTCAATCGATCCAATCTTATCTTATTTTTGAGATCATTGTAGTACTTGGTACTCGATTATTGTGAGGATCTCGATCTCGATCTCATTCGTTATTTTAGTTGCGAGTTCATCGATTGGTTTTTTGGTGGCTCGTTTGAGGTTTAACGAAATGGAGGTTAAGCCTAGTTGTATTCGACTCGTTCTCGTGGCTTTCGAGCTATCATGTTCGAACACGAATTTGCTCGATGAAGGGTGCATTGTTTTTCAATTTTATTCTATTTTATATTTCAACATTTTTCAAATTATTTAGTTACTTGCTATTATTTTACTACGTTTGGCTAATTTTATGTTTTAGTAAAAAAAACAATGAATCCCACATGTCCAAGGCTCAACAAGTCTTGCACGTTCAACTCGCCACCCACACCCACTAAGGTCAGTGAGTCCCCACACCAACAAGCGAGTCCATCACTCCTGATTCTCGATTCCACCCTTTAGTCGCGAGTCCTTCGAGTCCGAGGGGCGTTTCGGGCACATTTTATGTGCAGAACATTTATTTCACTAATTTCAAGTACAATACCACCAACTCTTTTTCTAAGTTGTTTAAAGAAACATTTTTTTATCTTCTTTTTCCCACTACGATTGCAATGTTTTGTTTGTTAGTACTGTTGAGATATTCAACGGTTATCTGTTATATCAACTTAATGTATTGCGCCTGTACTGTTGAGCTATCGATTGTTCGATAGCTCGATTGCATGTTTCTAAACCCTAAGTTTCTCTTATCGATTATCTTTTAAAATTGACTTGTGTCAACAATAAATTAAAATCACACTTATTTTTATTTTTCAAAAATTATTTTTCACTAATTTCTTAAATCGGTATGAAATTACGTTGGAAATGTGAAGTAAAACCAAAAGTATCCAAGTATTGCACTAAGTCACAAGCCCAAGCAACCACTAAACAAGCGTGAGCCCAATAAATTATCAATAGAGAAAATTGGCCAACCATTTTTGGGCTGAAAGCTGAAGTTTTCCAGCCCATTGGGTATTGATTACCTCAAGGAAAACGTGTGCGTGTGGAGGAGGGAAAAGGTCAAAGGTCAATGCTATCACGTGTTTATCTATTTCTCTTCAGGGAAGATAATACTGTATAATATACGTATGCTCCACGCATATTAAAAAA